GTACACTTCAAACTATCGTATAAACTTCCAATAATTAACTGGATTCCCGTCAAACCAGGACAACTTAACCTTGCCCTGCTAGCACCAGCCCCGTCTAGCCCCGCCTAGCCCCCGGGGCCAGACGGGGCTGGGCCCCGTTTCGGCGGGGCTATGACGGGGCTACGACGGGGCTAGGGACGCGATAGCCCCGTCTAGCCCCGGGGGCTAGGCGGGGCCCAGCCCCGTCTGGCCCCGTCCTCAAAAAAAACGCGCAGGGGGACGCCACGCTCTCCGTGATATTAACCCCCAATTTACGTTACCAGTATTATTCCTTTCCTAGTTCTCCGCACGGCCGGTTTAACCATTCGACTTCTGATCGATGAACACCCATAACCCTCACCTTTGTTTGGTATTGCCCACCCTCTAAATATAGTGATAGCGCCGAAAACTCGAAAATGTCCCTAGGTCTGCATAAACAAAGACAATGGACAGCAAATATTGGCATATGATAGTTTATTAAACATATAAAAATAAAAAAACCGGAGTAATATGTACAAGGGACATATGGGATAGGAATTTGTTCTGGTCAATCAATTACACGGCATCGTTGTGTTGCCGGAAGTGTTCATCCACGGCAGGCTCCTAAAAAAACATTAATTAGTAAACAATTCTTCATAATAGTAAATTAAGTAATAATTTTGTTTTACTAAACGGCATGCGTGGTGTAACATTTAAGTTGCCCTAAGTAACTTTAAATTTCCTTAGGGCAACTTAAATAAAAATTTCAGATAAATAACTTATGGAGTGAAAAAAAATGCCTGAAAAATAATTATGCCAGAAATACTTTTTAAAAACATTAAGAGGGGACTAAAGGAATACATAGCCATCTATTTTTGGCTAATAAGTCATTTATGTCCCCTGTAAATGTTTTTATCAAGTACAGCTGTCAAAATAACGATACAACTTAATGAAAAAAATTGAAATCAGTATTAATTAATTTGAAAGTAAATCATAATGAGGTATCCGCTAAATAGATGTATGTCTTAATGCAGAAATTAAAAATTAAATGTACTGAACATAAGAAAATTATGCAGACTGGTTGATTAATTAAATTTAAATAATACTAATATTAAATAGAGGAAAAAAATTATACTGAAAGTCAAAGCTTAGGCGGCTACATAGCAAATATGAATTTACTCACTGTGTCCTCCGAAATTGTTTGCGAAAGTTCAAAGCTGCTTGTTGAATGTTCTAGGGAACCCTAAATCAATGTGTTGTAAAAACTTGTTGGAAAAGTAAGTACCATATCAGCTACTCGACGCCGTTTGGCTCGCCCGCCGTATCTGTCTCGTGTTCCATGGAACCATTCAATAGCTGTTTGCCGAATTACTTCGGAATGGCAGCTACGGTACTGCTCATTACAGCGTATTGCATCTGCAGGTGTTAAAAAAAACATAATAAACAGACCACTTAGGACACTGAATAGAGGGCTCCCTATCTCTATCCTCGCAAGCTCTGTCCTTCTTTCGACATCAACAATAGCCCGTTGGAGTTCGACCTCAAGTTTAACTCGCCTCTCTTCTACTTCGGCTATTTTTAAGGCTTTGACTATTTTACTGGAACAACGACTACTAATAGAAACGGTCTTACAAGAGCCGGACTGGACGTTTTTCTTTAGTTCTCCTCGTCCTTCAAAGGCACCCGGTTTGTCTAGTCCGAGGGACTGTTCCGTACCGTCCGATTCATCGTTCATGGAACGCGTCTGCATTTGATGAAATTAAATTCCTCCAATTTATGGTACGATGTTGAGTACTGTGGAATTCTTTGTAAATTGAGTTACGCGTACAAGCCAAAACAAACTTCGGCGTGAATGCGGTACTACTGATAGGATAAGGTAATAATGAAAAACGTACAAAACTCAACAATGGATACTCTAGACAAGGAATTCCTTTGTTACTGTTCGAGCAAATCGAATCCCCAGCTCAAGGTCAGAATGCTAAAACTAGTTGATTAAAAGAACGCCGATCACGCTCGAAAGAGGGTTACAAAAGGGGGGAAGGGGAATGTCAACAGAAGCCAAATGTGGAAGCACTTGCAAGGAGTGCGTGGAGAATTCCAAGCGTCGACCAGCTGGATACAACAAAAGGTCTGCGAATTTCTGAGTTCAGTCGAAATATCATTCATGCAAAGAAGGAAGAGTAGTGGACCCAGAACCATGCCTTGAAGTACGTCACTCGTGGTCAAGTGAGGTGTCGAGTAACTATTA